CCATATCCCGTCCCCCCGTGTCCCCGCTCACCTGCCCATTGTCGGGACCCTGCAGCAGCTCCTTCCCCAGCGGGAAGCGGATCTCCACGCCCGGAGTCTTGTCCTCCCGTTCCCCTGGGGAGCTGATGACGGAGCCCGACACCTCGCTGATGTCGCTGGCGGTCTCGCTGTAGTTGTCCCCCCCGTCCAGCATATCGTGCCGGCTGCCGCTCCGCGGGGTGCGCGATCCCTTCTTCCCCACGCTGTAGGCGTCGAAGTCGATGGTTTTGTTCTCGTAGGCCCCCTCCACCGAGGCGAACATCCCCCCGTATTTCTGCCGCGGTGTCTGCGCCGTGGTCCCCGGCCGGGCCAGATACACGGGCAGGTCGTCTTCTTTATTCCAGTTCCTCTTTCTCTCGGCCATTCTTGCCGCGCGGGTCTCTCCCTCGCTCGCTCTCTGCTACCCCACTTCTCTGCACCTTCTGCTACCGGGATAGGCTGCCCGTGACCATAAAAATGAATGGACGGCTGCGGCGGCGCGGGGTTGGCTGCCGGGATGCTGCCCTTAGGGAGATGCAGGCGGCGGGCTCCCCTCCGCCATCCGCCCCCAGCAGAAAAAGAAAAAAAAAAGATTATGAAAAAGAAAGAGGACGAAATAAATCCAAGCGGGATTTAGAAATAGCCGTGTTAGTAAAGAGCACGTGAAAATAAAGTACAAAGAGAGCAGAGGAGAGGGTGGCAGAGGCAGGTGATTGGAAAGCCCCTGACGAATCGGAAGCGCAGCAGCAATTCCCAGAGCAAGGACCGCAGTGCACACGCTCCCCCGGTATAAAGAATGAGCCGGGGGGCGGGAGGGGAGGGGAGGAGGGAGCGCGCCGCATGCACACCCAGCCACGGCCGGGACCGGGCGGGCTCCAGTCACCTGCTGCTACGTGGCTTCAGGGGGGGGGAGAAAAAAAAAAAAAAGAAAAAAAAATAAGCCCTCACTCCCCCCGTCCCCCGAGCGAGCCGGGGGGAGTTTCTCCCACTTCGCACACTCGCACTCCCCGCCTCCTTCCCTCCCTTCCTTCCTTCCTCCCGGGGCGGGGCAGGGGGTGCCGCTGCCGTCTCCGTGCCGCAGCAGCTGGTGCTGGGGGTGGGGGGCGGGGGGGGAGGGCGGCCCCGCTCCGCCCCGCAGCCCCCGACCGCTGCGCGATCCCGCGGCGCGGAGGCGGCAGCGCTGACACGGAAGTGATCGCGATGGGAGCTGCCCGCGGATCCGCCCCGCGCAGCCCCCGCAGCCCGGCGCGCCCCGCGGAGCTGTCCCTTCAGCACCGCGCAGCCCGCGCCGGCTGAAGGCTGCGCTGCGGGAGGCGACGGACGGGACCCGACTGCAGCTCTTCGTTCTGTCGGCACGGTGCCAGCTAACAAACCCCGATTCTCTATTATTATTACTATTTAAAGCGGGAGGATTTGAGAATGCTTTCTTCTCTGCCCACTTCAGAAAGTGCGGCTCTACACTTCTACCTGTCTTACAAAACGGGGGTCGTCCGCTGAGAGCACAAAACCTTGGATACTCATCTCCCACCCACATAGCCGACCTCAGACAATCCTGTCGTGCCTTGAGTGCACCAGCAGTTACATAAGGATCGCACTCTATTGCTCTGAAATACTAGAACAAATTGCTCTGACACTGATTAAATGACTAAGCAAATTCGAAGCACTGGATCAATCACAAGACCTGCTTACAGCTCATGTACAGTGTGGTTATGCCATCTGAACACAAAGCCCAGCCACACAATGCTATCTCTGAGCCACAGGCACACCTGATTGTCCCAGCAGAAGAAGAATTGCAAGTTGTAGATTGATTAGAAGAAGCAGGAGATTAAAAGCAGAAGTCCCTTGGAATTCACAGGATCACAGGATATCACAGGATATCCTGAGTTCGAAAGGACACACAAGGATCATCCAACAGCATCACCCAAACCCTATGACTGAAAGCATTGTCCAAACACATCGGCAGCATGGGCCATGCTCACTGCTGTCTGGTGCAGACCTTTTCCCTAACCCCAGCTGCCCCTCCCCTGACACAGCTCCATGCTGTTCCCTTGGGCCCTGTTGCTTGCCACAGAAAGCTGAGCTCAGCGCTGCCCCACCACCCCCTGTGAGGAGCTGCAGCTGCCATGAAGCCTCCTTTCAGCTCCTCTGCTCTGGGCTGAGTAAACCAGGGGCCTCAGCTGTTCTTCATAGCCTTTACCATCTTTGTAGCCCTCCTTTGGATAGCAGATGTAGACTGACATAGACAGCTACAGGCAGATAAAAAAAACTTAACGCTTTCCATAGTGTAAGCACATCAACAGGACAAAGTCTTACTCAGTTATACCACTGTAAAATCGTTCATTACACGAGCTTTATAATACTCATATTTCCACTGACATAGCTGAGAGCAGCATTTCCCCAGAACATCTTCATTCAGAAGCAGCATCCGTTACGTTTCATAGCTTTCCCCAGTGGATAACTGGAAACATGCAAATACTGAATAGAGACAGTGTCACAAACTTTATTCCAAGCCATTCCTTAAGAAAAGTGTGGATTTGGGGAAATATAAAAATAAAAACAAAGGTCAGAATCAAATTGTTTTTCCAATGTTAGCAGCCACTTGAAAAGCCATGAGGTAAAAAGTAAACTTAATCTTTTTGAAAGGAGTTAAAATTGGATTTTTTAGTCAGACTCCCTGACTTTTCCAATTCCTAGTTTTACTGCACAACACTTGAGCTCAATTGCTAGCTAACAGGCTAAATATTAATGCTTTATTATTATTCATGTCATAATCCAGCTAATATATTTTAAACAGCTCCCTAAACTCACAGCATGTAATAAATGTAACCAAGGAACCAGTTTATGAACTACTGCTAGGTCTCAGGCTGAAGATGCATTAAATACTGCATCATCCAAATAGCTGCTGTCATCCCAACATGCATCATCAAAGTATACCAGCTTTCTCATCAACAACTACCAGAGCCATGTAAAAAGCTGTTATGTAACATACCTGAGCACTGCTCTAACAAGTCAAAGAGAAACATCTTCCTTTTCTGCATTTCCTATAACAGTAGAAACTCCTGTCTCAAATGCCATGGAAAACTGTGCTGTCTGCATGAGTGGAATTAGAGAATTAGTCAAAGGTTCACTGATCCCTGGTTATTAACACACTGATTTAAGTAACTGCTGCATCACCACTGGCATTCCTAAACACATATTCCTGTGCAGGATTTCATAGCTAACTCAGTAAAACGGGCTACCACATTAATGTAGGTAGTACATTCAGGAAGACATGAAGGTCACACATCACCCCAAATACTGGAAAAAATACTCATTTCGTAAGACTTTTCTTTCCAATCAAAAGATGAATTTTGAACCTCAGTAAAATATATTCCTGATGGTCCCACAGTAGGTCCAGTATGTTGTACGTGATGCATTAGTTTGCTTAAAGATTCAGAGTTAAAGAGCATCTTTTGTTTCATGCTCACAAAGTCAAGACAGACTCTCTGTTCACATGGTTTCCAGATGGTAACATTGTTCAGGTTCCTAATACTGCTCAGTTTTTTGAAACAACAAAGAAAAATGCTTTTTTTTTTTTGTTTAGTATTAAGCTAGAACATTCATCTTAATGCGTAAGGAGACTGAAAGACTCAAAGAACACACCAAATGAACATTTCAGAAAACTGTAAAACTTTCAAGTTAAGAACAAACATAAAATCATATGTCTTTGTTCGTTTTTGCATTTTCTTTCATAATACAGGCCTTTGCTTACTACCCGTGCTCTAAGTGAACAGATGCATGCTGTTCTGTTCACTAAGAGATGAAAATTGTTGTTTCAGCTGCTCCAGAAGACCCAGTTACAGCCTGATGCTGTCACCTCACGAATTTACCTAAAAATACATACGCAGCTTTGGAGAACTACGTAGTTTTGGAATATTCTGCAGACACTGTGTTTCTTCTCATCTTGGCATAACTTGGTGAAAACAGGACAGAGGTTAATTGAAATTGCACCCTCTTCCTATAGGACCTTTAAGCTTTATACTGACATAACATCAGTGACAAATTAATTATATTCCAAACAGGCTAGATGAGAGAAAACCTAGAGACGTGCTTGCTTCCCTCAACAAAAACTTTCAACAAAATTCCAATGAAAAAGGTGTGATTTACCAACCTGCCAATGGTGGCTGGAACTCTTCTTTCAACAGTATGAATGCCAAGAGCTGGAAAATGGCTTCTCAAATACAGGAGCTCAGAGAACACGCAATGTACATTTTCCACCTGCTTTTGCTTTTTTGCTTTGCATGTTTTACAGCACAATGATCAGACAAAAAAAAAAAAAAAAAAAAAAAAAAAGCATGAGTAGTGAAAGAGATCTGAGATTTCTTTCTTCCAGAGGATAAAGCTGAATCACTGAGATTCCTTCTGTGCTCTACACAACTACTGGATTTCTGGCTGTTGTATCCTTCTCCTGTCCCCAGTTCCTGTCCTATACATTAGAAATTTGCACAGCCCCTTGATATGTCAGAACTGGACCCGAAATTCCACAAGCCAGTAAAGGCTCATGTTTCCTACTTCCTGAGAAACTACAATAAAAAGACAGCCAGTACTGTTCAATTAACTCATGCTAATTCTGTAAAGTCATCAGAAGCTGAATGGCAGCTTTTCTACGAAGAGGAGCAAGAACTAAAGACTGAGCAGTATCCTTATCCTGGTAGCTGATCAAATAGCCAATAGTTGACGACCCTTCCTCAAAATGGAGACATTCTTGGTTGCTGTGAAGGGATACAGTTGTGTTTACAACTATATTTAAAAGCTCCACCACCATTTTGGAGTTAAAAATAATTAAAATTATAAAGTTTTTAATTTAAAATATGAATACATTTAATATACAAAATTGTACAAATTTTACATTTAACTAACATAGAAAAATACATCTTGTTAACAAGATAAAATGTCAACATATCTTACATAATTTGTGAGAGTTACAAATCTGTGATAATCATCAAGTAGACTTTGTGACTTCATTACAATTCTGTGTTCACCCTAGTTACATTGAAAATTAATACATATGTACAATTCACATCCATGATAAATGCCTTAAAGTGGAAATCTTTATTGAAAAGTTATCCATGAACAAATCTAAATCAAGAGCGGTCTCTGTCTTGTTACTGAAACTTCTTGATTAGTTTCTCCACTTTGACACCCAATTACAGGGTGATCATGGGTAAGAGTTTAAAATTTTTGCATTTATTTACAACCCTTTCCCTCCAAAAACATCTAGCTGGTACATCTGTTTAATAAGTATCAAACCATAAACCCCAGCCTTTTTGTGAATTCTTTGGCACCTCTTGAAATGGACCCCAGCTTGCATCCCCAATGATTCATGTCAACTACAACACTAGTGGCTGTGCAGAAGAGCTGAATAGCTGCACAGCAGTACAGCTCAAAATACATCTGCATACATTATTTATCCCAGATTTCTCATTAATGCCCAGGAGGTGGGGAAATATCTTTGTTTCAGTCAGTGTGAGTAGAGAGTTTTTACTCCTTATTTAATTTACATGTTTTCTCTCTTCAAATTCCAAACAAAAGACAGAAACCTAATCTATAAACAAGCCATAAAAATCTGTTCCACGTTGCATCTTGTCTTATATACTGTGAGCTGTGTAATAATATTTTCTAACTATTCACATATTTTTTAAAACTTGTTTGTCATCACAGGGAGAGAAATAGACAACCACTCCTCTGAGTTTCATATCCACTTTTTTTTCTTTATTACTTTTTTTCTTTTGGTAGCTCTGTACCAACAAACTATTTTTTAATTCCTAGAAGATAAAATTCCCTCCCCATCTCCAAGCCAAATGCTGATCAACTTCTCCTAAGATCTGCTTAGGAACACCAGTGAGAAAATGAACGACCTCTCAAAGACTTTTTGCACAGGAGTGGTTTTAACCAGCGAACTACTTTTTCCCTCATTTAAAAAAAGACACAACCACTATTCTGAGAGCAGAGAAATGCAGATATTCAGCATCCATTAGTTCACACTGCACAGTACCCTCTCACGTTGGAATTTATATTTGCATATTCATATTCCAATAACAAGAGTCTCTTACAGACAAAAATAACATCGAACAGAGATTTATACCACTGATCCCAACGACTCCAAATCAAAGAAAGTCTTCATAACTACTCATCTCTCTTCCCCCCCCTACGTATTTAGAAAATGTTAAACAGAGCTGTATTATATTGCTGTATACCTATCAGATTTGAGCATTTCTTAAGCCAAGTAGATTGCATGAAATCTTGGTCCCAGGGAGACCAATGGAGATTTGTGGTACAAGTATCTCATCCAGTACATTTAAACTTACTCTTCTTTTCTAATTCTATCTCCAACTTGCAATTATCCTCATTAGCAAATAATGGTTTAGGCATGGAAGACAGTGATAAAACTTAAGTCAGCTATATTTTTAATTCACACCCTACATAATAAACAGTATACTTTCTTTTCTAACAGTTTTGTGGGGACAAAAATTCCTTTCCATAATCCTATTGCTACTGATTTCTAATGCAAATATGTTTGGAGCCAAAGGCACAATACATTTTAAAGGAACTCTGCTGAAGCAGGAAAGAGGTTTGAACAAATTTCCGTAATCCTAAGGTCTGTTTCCCCTCTGCCTCCTTAAGGCACTAAAGGATTTCCAAAGGATTAGTAGCAAAACCCAGCATGTACATCTCCCTCCCTCCACCCACAACCATAGAAAATCGAAATACTAAAATTCTTCCTCTGCAAGTTAGAAATACAGGTCAAGGTTTACACTTTTTAAAAGCCCACAAGGTTAAACATCATCCATACCTTAGTATGGAGGTTTAACTTGACAACCCTCCAGTGTATGTGAAATATTTCCCAGCAATTGCATTATTCTGAATGTAATGTGATTATTGTGCAGGAGTCAATCATGGTACTTCCAAGCATATGCCATCCATAGTAGTACGAAGAATAGAATTCAGGCTTTAAAGATTGCACAGGGAGCTTTGGAAATACATTAAGCTGTGTTTTCAGTATCTTGTGATGCTCTATACATTATAGTATATGGAAATAAGTAAACTGTCAAAGAAATCATCATGTAACGCAGCCCACTTTGTCTATTTAGGGCGACAAAAGGTTATTTTTACTTAGAATTCAGCAGCACCTCAATTCTGACTGAGGAATTTGGTCAAAGCGATATTGTGCATATAAAGCAATCAGAACAAAGTACCTCATTTTGCATTCTGAGGAAGTTTAACACAAAACAATGACGTACGTAACGCAGTGCCCAGCCTGTTTGCCATAGACAGCACATCTAACAAGTTAACTTCTGCTTAGCAAAAGAAAACTGAACGGACTCTGTAGCAGTCAGACAACACTTTTCACCATAAGGTATCCAAAAAATAATAGCCAGGATCTCTGTTCCAGTTGATAATCTCACATTTAAAAATTTTCTGTTAGTGATTTAAGGTAAGACTGGAATTTTAGTTCCTGGTCCTCAGCCACATGGTCTACCAATTCAACTAATAAACAGGGTCTTCCAATATTGGTCTGATGGTTTTCATACTAGGCTGTGGCAGAATTGAAAGAAAATCATGGTACAAACCACAAAGAATGACTTTAATGTGCTTTATATATCTTATGCTAATCATTTTGAAATGAAATCTAATAATAGAAAGCCTAAGATGATACAAAATGGACAGGTTCATTATCAGCATTTATAATTCATGGTGGGAGATTATGTATAAATGCTAGGAAAGAAGCATGATGTTTTAGTTCAACAAATAATTCAATTGCAAGTAGTAGGTTTTAATTGCCTGAGTGCTGTGAAAATGATGCACATTTTCTGGTGGATAGTATGCAAAGGGAGAGAAACCTACGCACACGTCATTGCTTCATTTTAAAAACTTGTAGTTAAACTTCAAGTGTTAACATGCCAACGTGCCATCTTGTCGCTAGTCATAAGATGGAAATACACATTACATTAATCTGATTTTGGATTCCACTGTTTTTTTTTTATCCTTCTGTCTCCTTTCAAAGAATATCTGTTATTACTGGGAGACTGAGCTTCGTAAAGATCAGCACATTTAGCGGCAAACTCAAGAAAAAAAAAAAAAGAAACCCAAAAAACAGCTGTCAACACTGAAAGTCCATTACGGTGACAGGGACAGTTTGGGAGATCAGTATCTATGGCTGTTTCCACTCTGACAACGTGAGTTGCCACAGACTTCAGCAGCGCGGTGCAAGCTTGTAGTTAAAGAAGGAATGTATGTATCTATATGACCACTTATGACCACTTAAGCACAAGTCCTGTGCCAGTGTTCATGTCTGCCTGCCTTCACAAATAGGTACTTAGTTATGAATAGCAGGAGATATGAGTGCATAAAATATACTGTAGTTGCAAAATATTTTTGCATAACGTGTAATATTATCACCCAATGGGTGCAGAAACACCTACTTCAGAAAAAGAATGCATGTATGTGAATACCTTATCTGAAAGTTAAATTCAATGTGGCCTGTTCACGTGGTTGAATACCAATCAATCTAGAGCATTAGGACACAGTGCTTTGAAGTTCCAAATGCTTCTCTTGTGTCCATGAAGTGCATCCTCAATTCATACATTGTAAAAATGTAGTTCTATCTCATTTCCTGGACAATTTGTACCTTCATCTAACATGTCCTCAGAAATACTGAACATCCTAACTTAAACCAAAGCCTTTTTCTGGAATGCTCAACGCCATAAGAGGCTGCAGGCATTACATGCCCACATCAGCAGATCTATGAAGACTGAGGTATGTGCTTAGTATGATAATTTCTTAAAATGGGACTTCCGGGATCTTAAGAAAACAAAACAACAAAAAAACAAACCACGTATCAGACTGGCTCTCATGGTCAAGTTCCACTACAGGATGTGGCTAAAACACAGTAGATGGTAAGTCAATGCAGCTTCTCAATTTTTTCCCGTAATGAAGCAGTTGTGGTAACCTCCACGTCAAAACACCTTTCATCATTGCTTCAGAGCAGTAATTGTGTCTTTGTAACCAAAAGTTTACTCCCTGGATAAGTGAAAGGAGAAAACACAGAGAGAAAAGCATAAGGTTAGAATCTGGATTTCCACAATTTAAAGCATCGTTCATTACTTGTTCAAGGACAAAATAAAGCATTTGGAAAGTAGAGTGCTTTGTGTGCTTCCATGCATACATAACACAATTGCAGCATTAATGGAACATATTGTGGGAATTGAATTGTTCTAAACACATTGAGATGTTTTCCCACGATTAACTTTTATGATGAAAGTCACATCTTGTACTTCTCCTTTTTGCTGCTCCTTCTTGTAAACAATTATCAATATGAGAATGAACACTTCCTACCCTCTTCCCAAAACCATTTCATAATCCTCTCGAAGGTAGACTCTCAAATAAAGTGCATTCCAGGGATGACAGCCATCAAGTCCAACCTTCCAAGTAAGCTCTATCTATATGCCTCTTTCTCAGAGCAATTTCAAGTTCATCATTTGGATCATCTCTCTGACATAAAAAGCCTGGATTTGCATTTTCTAATGAGGCTACCATTATTACTGTTAAATATTGTGAATGATGCATTGCCTGTATTTGTTATCTAAAAATTAGTGTCTATTGGAGAAACACTCATCTTAGTATATTAAGAGCATGGGAAATGAAACACACATACAAGATTCTAAAACACTGATACATTGAAGTCATAATTATAAAACTGGCTAGCAATGGAAATTAACTGTCATCACTGAAACATATCCTATTCACAGACATTCTCCCTGGAAGAGAAAAATCATAAAGAGGGAAAGAAAAGAGCCCTCCTGGTTTATACTTTAGGATAGGAAAGTTTTAACCAGCAAGAAAAACAGAACAAAAAATCGTGCAGTGAGGCAGAATGGGGAGGCCATCATTTTTGGAGAAGCAGCTATATGGGATATTGTGGGAAACAAAACCAGTGAGGTGTGCAAGAAACAATAATTGAGTCAGGAGAGTGCCAGCTGTGCAAGAGCACAACGGTGATTTCTATTGATAAGAGGCACTTAGTGTCCTTCCATACTCACTGGTTCAGATTTCCATCTTGAATAAAAAGGTGACAAATATTCAGTCTTTCCTCTTATTTAATACAACACAAGAAGCTTTCTGCAGTCTTTTTGTGATGCTATCTTGCTATAATGTTATCTTCTCTTTTTTTTTTCTTTTTTTCCTGTAGGTGGATCCAAACAAAAGAGTCTGGGGAGTTTCTTTTCTATTCACAATGAAATAGAGCCCTATTCTGTATTGCCAACAAACAGAGTCCTTTGCAGGTCATTCTTTTCTTCAAAAAGGGAAGGCTCATAGAGTGCTGGTACCAGGCTACAGAATCACAGAATTCTCATGGGTCAGAGAAGACTCATGGGTCTTGAAAAAGACCCATGAGATCAAGTTCAACAATCACTTCACTCTACCAAGCCCACCACTAAACTATGTCCCTTAGCACCATGCCCACACATCTCATACCTTCACGATGGTGACTCTACCACCTCTCTGGGCAGCCTGTTTCAATGCCTAACCATTTTCTGTGAAGAAATTCTTCCTCTCATCTAATATAAACCTCCCCCAGCACAACCTGAGGCTGTTTCCTCACATCCTAAAGCCATTTCATGTCCTATGAAAATACTGTCTCTGGGGATCACCATATTTTAGTATGAACTACAATCAGGACAATGTGCAGCAGAACACATTTATAGTTCTTGCTATCCACAGATATTAATAATTTCACAGGATGTCAGCCACATCCCTTTTTATAACGAATGTTACAGAAAGAATATTACAAAGAGAAATATGATCTTGTATTCTGGGACAGTCTGAAAGACATTCCTGTCTCTCCCCTTCCACTCACACGAAGTCTCTTCTATGTGATCCCATCAGCATGCATAAGTTCTGGACGGGATCAGAGTGATGAGATCCCATGACCTTCTAAAACTTCATCTTAATTTAGAAGATAGAGAATTTGTACTTTTAGCCTTTCATTTGCTTGCACATGAAACACCGATCATTTCCACTGTTTACCAACTATTTCAAAGGGAATTTTTTTTTTTTTGCATTTTAGTGGCCACATCTTTTGTCATTGAACTTTGAAATAAGTTCCCCAATTTTCTGTAGTCATAGATTGAGGATATTTGTCACAGAATCACAGAAACATCAAGGTTGGAAAAGACCTACAAGATCATCCAGTCCAACCATCCACCTATCACCAATAGTTCTCACTAAAACAGGCACTGTAACTCTTAGAAGCATTTACAGTCTTAAAACAGTTATTGGCATAATACTTGAATCCATTTTTACACGCTTTTTTTCTTGAAAAATTTAGCTATCAATTAAATTTCTAATTTTTCTCATAGTCTTCATTTGCTTTTTCATCTTCTTTCCCTCATCTTTGTCCTTGTTCCTTCCCATGTGGTGTTATTTATCCCTCCTTTTATTTTTCACTCTTTGCCTTTTATGACCCTTGTGCTTCTTGCAGTCTTATTTTCCTGACACAGTACTCATCCATCTCCCATTCTTTTTGTTCGTACCACTTACCTAAGTAGCATGGCAACATAAATGAATACAGATCTGTTGTAATTACTCTTGTCAGGAAAGATGTCTGTTTTGTGAAGTGCTTGAGGCAAATAAAGGTCTTCATTATGTCACTTTGCCAAAGAAAAATACCAACTAAGCATTTACAGTGCTTAAGCATGGAGGTACAGTCACCAACAGGGTACCACAGCAATTAACAACCAGCCAAGTCTTTATTAACAGCGAGACTTAGAATTTCAGCAAGGGTATCTCTCATGCTCAGAAACCTGCTGGCATCCTGTTCCTTGTTAGGGCTAAAGCCCATGCATGAGCAGCAATGCAAAGGCTCGGCTCATGCTCCTTCACAAGAGGAGCAAAATCAATTTCAGTCACTAGCACAAAGAACTGCCAGTGTAAACTGATTTCTTCATGACCTTGGAGCCTTAAAAGGAATCTTACAAAATTGAATGACAAGACTGTACCATACTTTCTAATCCAGGGTTGAATCATATCCAACATAACAAAGATTAGGGCATTTTCGTATGCTCAGTTATGTTCTTCAGTCTTTCACAACCTGTGTGCTGTCTGCATTCATTTGTTCTGGCTTTTCCTTACCATCCTCATCTATCCTTGTTCATCTTGTGCTGAGATTCCCAAAACTACAGGACCATAGTAAGGATTTCAGGTCATTAATATCAACCTACTCTAATAAGCGACCATTATGAAGCCAGACCAGGTTCCTCAGACCTATATTTATTCAAATCTTTAAAACCTCTAAGAATGGAGAATTCACAGACCTCTCTTCTCTGGGCAACCTGTCCCACAGATGGATTGTCCCCAGGGAGGAAAGGCTTTTCCTATATTCAGTCTGAATCTCCCTTGATTCACCTCATGCCAACTGAGCCCAGCAATTCCTTGCAAGTTGTTGTGAAGTCTCTCCAGTGCCAGCTCTTCTCAGGGGTGAACAAGCCTAGGTCCTTTGGCCTCTTCTCAGAGGGCAAGGGCCCTTACCCCACAGTGCCTAAACTAACATTTTTAAGGAAGCTGGGTGTGAGAGCACTAGTAATGCTACCTAAAGCCATTGATGTGCCCTCAACAACTCATCTTGTTCAAAGAACAATGATTTAATGAATGCAATGATAAAAACAACACTGACTGCTCTGCACAGACTAGTGATCTATCTCTGCTCACAGCAGCGGAACACAACCAGTGCTCCCCAGTTTCAACTACTTCTAAAAAGAGTTCTCCTATCTGACGCCTCTACCCCAGAAAGCAGAGCTCTGCATCCACTCCAGAGTCTGTGGTCAGAGACAAACTAATATAGATACTATCAAGACAAACAACAGCAGGGATGGAAGTTAAAAAGAAAGAAAGAAAGAAACTACAATACCGAAGGCACATTCTTAAAATCTCTACACCATCTTCAGGGAATGCCTGTTCTTTTTTCAGTTAGTGAATACGCACACACTAAATTTCCAGCTAAACACTTCTTTCCACTAGGAAGCTAAAGCTGGAAAAAGGAGGACATTCTTTTCCTCGTGTTCTCTGAAAGAGAGTGTGAAAACTGGTGACGCCTCTGTAAAAACTTTCCATGTTATGTGGGGTGGGCTTAGGCAGTGGACCACCACTGAATTCCAACTGCTTCACTCTGCCTTCTGACTAATCTCAGACAATGCCTACTGGAAACAATTCCTAATAATAACTAACACCTCATATCAAAGAACTGAGTACAGTTTAAGAACTGGAAAGAATTTATGCTGCAAAATATTAAAGAATTACTCTGCCCTGTTTTGACCATTATCAAACATCACCTGTTTTCTCCACTTTGACATCACTGAGGCACTATTGGCTTTTACCTCCATTCCAGAGCTACAGCAGCACAAAGGAAAGAAAATGTCAGCAAGAAGGCTTGTGTTGTTCTTCAATATTTGTTAACGTATTTAAAGATACTTGGTCTATCAAATACAAAGAGCAGTCATTTTTATATTTTCTATTAATTAAAGAAAATTGAAGGTCTGTGGTATACATATGTTATTAGGAAACAATCTACCATGAAATATTCTATGCACATCTTAAATTACAATCTAATTTTATCGTGTAAATTTCTTTTATTTAGAAAAAGTTTGATTGCCTGCCTATAGAAAAATTGCTGAAAAAGAGTGATTACAGGAAAGGAAGTGTTGTAAAACTGCCTTTTGCCACAATACACATGGGATCCCTCAGCTTTATGGTAAATATTGTTTCAACAAACACATTCTGACCTCTGTAAGAACATTAGATTTTGTATTTGGAGAAAAAAATAAATCAAATAGTACTCAGAGGCATCTTCTTATTTATGAGTTGCTGTTTATAAAGGTAGTTTCTAATTGATGGAGTTCAGGAGGTGTGTATCTCATTAAACCTGGAGTGAAGATGTATTGATCCCAATTACAAGCTAAGGTCAGCAGAGCTTGGCTGTATATTGGAGCAAAGGAAAAGCTTTGCCAACTGCATCCCAGAGGAAA